GTGGCTTATTGTTGTCAACTAAAAAGAGACCCTACTTGTTTGCAAATGTTTGTTTTGTTTTTTCCTCATCATCTAAAGCAAGGATTGTTATGTTTCCATCCTATTTCCCAACTAACATTTTGATTTCTGACATTACAACCTACACTGCCATAAACAATTAATCTGACTTTTTAGAGTAGCTGATGTTAGCTACAAAAGAAAGAGCCTCACAGGATGAGTACCAGGTGCCTATCGCCTTAAAAAATGACCACTTTTTCTTTGCAAATCTGAATTATTCAGTGGTACCAAGTTTTCTGATCAGTGCGTTCTCTTCATGGTATAGATTCTGTCTTCTAAATTCGGTGAATTTGAGGTTGGATTGGGTACACAAACTTAGCTGAGCAAGAGAGACTTTTACATAGGGATTTTTGCACAATCCTGCCCGTCAGTCCTGAAGTGAGCTGCGGCAACTATGGTTGCCCTCTGAAACTTTCACTGCCAACGATTCAACCAAATTCAGAAAAAAAAAATCTGAGGAAAAGTCATTTCAGTAGTGGACATGTGCAAACTTCCCCCTAACTCAATTATTCCCTAAACAGTACGACAGAACCACAATTTACGTGGAGTTTGGGTTTCAGCTATTTTAAGCAATCTACCTGTGCCATAAACCACGTGGAGAGTGGATGTTCTTGACTCTGTGGACATGACACAGCTTCACCAAAGGGCCCCAGCATCTGAAGATTGGGGTGTCAGCTGGAGTCCTGAAGCCAGTCCTCCAGGCATTCTGAGGAGCCACTGTGTTTACTACTGACCCGCAACTGGAGGAGGAGTCTCAAATATGAGACGGTAGGCAGAAGGCATCCTAGGACAAGAGAGAAGAAACTACAAGCGCTGTGAGTAGGTGTGTAGAAAAGCCTGCAAACATAAGGGACATGCAGTACAGCAGGACCTGACAGACAGGTGACTGTCTCACTTCCAGGGACAGGGCCTGCCTCATAGGAGAAGAGCTGAAGAGCTGAGAAGACCACGGAAGATAATCAGATAAAGTTTAAATTTTCCCAATCCTTTTTCAGTGGTTTTCTATGAAAGGCTAGGCAGAGAAAGGATGAAATAGGCCTGTGGTGGAAGGGGAGGGGGCTGTCTTAGGAACAACGTGGCCTTCGGGGTAGGTCAGCTTTTATGTTCAGCCAGTAAATGTTGTAGGTGTGTAGCTGTGCATTTATTGGAGTGGTTCTGTTCAGTTTGGTGAAAAGCTAAGGAGGTGGCCATGTCAGGGTCCTCCATTCTGTCAGTGCCATGCCTCCTCCTCGATGCAGAGGCCTGCAGCCTCCACATCTGGGCATACAACAGATGAGTATCGCAGTGCCAGCATGAGCCACATGGGGCCAAAGGTTTTTCAGTCACCCTGGAAGGTGTGCAATCATTTTTGGTTCTTAGGAACAAAGGACTTTAGATAAACCTACAAATCTGAAATAGGCTTAATTTGGACATACGCTCTGTTTACAAACATAGGTTACAGATTCACTTGAGAAAAAAAAAATCATCTTTAGCATTTTCTCCTATCACTCTGGGAGAGTCACTTGAAAATACAATTTAAATCATTTATTTTGTTTCTTCCTCCTATGGTATCACATTTCAGTCTCGTTTGAAAAATCAATACCCTTCATGCCAACTGGGCACAGTGGTGCACCCCTGTGATCCAGCTCTTGGGAGGATGAGGTAGGAGGACCTGGCAAGTTAGAGGCCGGCCTCTACGATATACCGAGGCCAGTCACAAGGAAAAGTCTTCACTTCACCTCATTTCCTGTCATTTCCTGAAAAGGAAAATATTCCAAGGCTCTGAGTGCATTTGAGTTCTGTGAGTTCCCCCAGGGTGAGATGCTTTTCCTGTTAGCCTGGCATCCCTCCCTACCCAACTGCACCACGTGGGAGTTCTCCTGGAGCAGTCTCCACAAATGTGTCCACTGAATTACTTCAGGCCAGCTCTGTGTAAATTTTGGTAACTTCAGAAAGGACAAAGGAAATGTACCTGACTCTGTAATATTCCATTAAAATAATATTAGTTTTAAACTATTTTAAAACATTATCTGTGTGAAATTAGAGTCCCCCATCTTAATTTCCTAATGAGTGG